GAAGGAAAGCCAGCAGCAGAGTGTGGGCAGCCTGTCTTCTGTTCTGTTGTCTCCCCCAGAGGCCTCCACACCACTGAATGGGTAGGTTTTACATGGTTGTCAAAGTCAGAAAGTGTTCTAGGCACTCACCTTTCCCTGATCAGTGTTGGATCAGAATTAGACAGTTTGTTATGGTACTTATGGTGCAACCCTAAGAACACTTCCTTGAGAGTAAGTCCTATTGAGTAGACCTCCTAAGGATTCACTCTCATACAGTGCCAATCTAAGCATAGTTAACACCCTTCAAAGTCCCTTGAAATCAGTGGGCTTAAAAGGATGTAACTGTGCTTGGCACCGTTAGTCAGGCAAGCTAGTCTGCATCAAAATAAAAAAGACTTTCAGCATCTGTAGAGATTCTGTTACGTACAGAGTCCTTAAGAATTAAAGGCTAACAAACACACAATTGTGCAAGTACATGTATTGAAACCCAGAAAAGTTGGTTCAGAAGAGTGCTGTTGTGAGTGGAGATGTGTGTGCGCATCTGCATGGGGGATGTTCTTTAACCCTTTCTCAATGTGCCATTTCCATCCGTTTCAAATGTGTGTTTTTCCAAATGTGTGTATTTTAAAAATAAGACACAAGCAATTTAAAAAAATGATGTCCGGCATCCAATATTCACACTTGCCTGAGGAGTGTGGCTAGCCCTAAAACTTTATTACTTGGATGATAGAATTCATTAACTATATGGAATGGAATTCAGCTCGTTTGGTTAATTCTTCCTTTCCCTATGTTGCTAAATGATTGAACTTTGGTAACTTAAAGGGACCAGGTTGTATGATGCAGTGGCTGCTTCCGCACAGGAGTTTTTGCCTGAATGGACAGGAGTATACCCTGTGAGCACAACTGGTGGATGGACCACCATGACTTTCACTTTTTAGCTGGTTCAAAGAAAAAACTGCAGGGTGGCTGCAGGTGGGGCATCCATGTAGACACTGTACCACAGCAAACAGAGGAGGGGGGCAGAGCTAAGCTTCACCTTTAAAATGGCAGAGTTAAGCTCTGTGCCCTCCCCCCAGCCCTGTAACTGGCTTTTTTCCCCCTTAGCTGAGCTAGAAGTGGTATTGCTATGCTGTAGGGCGGTGGTGTGACTGCTAGCCTTATTATAGCTTCTTTACTACGCAGTGTGTGTGTTCTATTTTCAACGTTCATTTTCCCCCCTACCTCTCAGATGGCAAAAAATAAGATACGTGTGCCAAGGTAGTATAGAGTGCAGCAATTTGCAGTTTGTTCGCTTCTTCATATAGTGGGTGTGCTTACAACTTTGCTCATTTATACTCTTACATAATACAATTTTCATAATGCAATTTTTAATGCTAGCTTAATTATAAGTGATATGTTTTATGTTGCTAAAACAGTAAAGTAAGTTTAGGCTTGATGAGAAAGTAAGTTGGATATTTTCCATTTTGGCAACATTTTAGAGGTTAGCATTTTATCCTGTTGTAATTTAGTAAGGCATGAAGGCTTGGCAGAATAAAAACATTTTGACAGGCCTTCTGAAAGAGTCATTGGTTGGGATTTCATATACTGCCTTCAAGAGAGCAGGGAAATGAAGAAAACTCTCCTCTCGTGACCCTAAAATGTGATATGTGTTGATAAAAAAAAACAGAGGAAAAAGTAATATAGCTATTAAATGTTTTATTTCACAGAACAGACTACATACCTGTCAGTGATATGCCAGCCTGTGGTGAAATATCACCATCTGAGAGTCCACATGTTGAAGGATTCTCTGAGACAGAAAATGTAAGCCCTATTGTCACACAGCAGTCTGAAGTATGTACTCCAAAACAGGTTGATTCAGAACCATACGTATTAAGTCAAGAGAGAACTAAAGAACTAGACAGCAGTCTTTTCAGCAGTGTCCCTGTCCTAGTTCAGGAAGAAAATGATGATCGTTTGGATACACATCGTTTTAGTAGCACTTCAGTATTTCATGTGGTGAACAAGAAAGGAGAAAAGTCTGCCGTGTGCAGTAACACTTCTGTTGGACATACTTTAGATGATGATGATTTAGAACCTGAAGTGAGTCTGGCTTGTGACGCTGTGCACACATCATTTCGTGCTTCCAGACTGGATAAGGCAATGTGTAGAACAGTATCAAGTCCTAAACAAAACCAAGGAGGAACAGATAACCTGCCACGTGCAAATCTCATAGGTAGCACAAAAAGTTCAGACTTTGCAACTATTGCTGTAGAAAATACAGCCTTCCTGCCTAATGAAAGGAGCAGCAGCCACCCTTTTCCTGCAGCAACAGAAGGCACTGATAGTGCCTCTTCATTGGCAAGTGTGGCTGGCAACAAAGTGAGTGATGACGTAGCTGCTGTTTGCTGTGGCCTGAAAGATCTGGCACTGAGGAGTCATGCACAGGTGAATTCAGACTCCTCTGCTTCTGCAGAAGCAAAAAAGACATGCTTGATCAAAGAGGAAGGCCTCGGCCTGCCCTTGAACCTGGCAGAAAAACCTTTTGCACAAGATCAGATACGGTTCATTGTGAGTGATGGTTCTCCAACAAGCTGTCGGAAAAGCTTGATCTCTTCCAAACATTCAGTGCAGTGTAACAAGGATATACCTAGATGCTGTACTTCATATGTTGAAAATGCTACTGCAAGCATGGGAAATCATATGGAAAGACCTTCACAGAACGATGCTCATTCCCAAGAAGAATTCAGGCCATTAAAGCATCAGAGCATGGAACAGGTAACCTCAACACCTGTAAAACTAGAAGCTGTGCAGTCCCCAACAAGTACTTTGAACTATGATATTTTGGAAGGCAGCTATTCGGGTAACTGCTACCATAGAGATGGTTCCCGACTTGGTAAGTTCAAAGCAATCGTCAGTGCTCTCTCTGTAATGCTTTTAATTGGACATTCTTACCCCCTATGCTTGAAAAAGTACAGGAAACATGCAGAAAGATAAGAATCAAATCAGATAAGAATCTTCTACCCAAAGCTGGAATGCAAAAACAGAGTAGCAAAGAGAAAACAAATCTGAATTTAGGATTAGGAAAGGAAGTCACTTGTTCCAATTTTTTGTGCAGTGGCATTCCAGCAGTACTTGGCTAGTCTTTCTTCCAATAGTCATCAGTTTCATTTGAACCCGTTGATCATGTTTAGAACTTTACCAGATAAGGCTTTTCAGTTTTGATATTAAAATCCTATCTAGGGAACTGTGTATGCAGATTTAAGATCCTGGGAATAAGAGTTGTAAAATTTCTCTGACCTCTATCTGATCCTAGTACTACCATTTTGGGGGGATCAGAGTGGTTTCTTGATAAGCTTTATATTTTGCAGCTATAATCTTTGAAGTCAAACGTGTGGAACTGCAGGAGCCTTCTGCTCTTTTCTGTATTTGGGTTATGAGAGACCACTTCCAGAGCCAGAAACAAGCAGCAGTCAAGACACAGATGCTTCTTTCCAGTTTGGCTAGTTCTTCTCAGACCTTAGCTGATGTGTCTGCACTTAGCTTGGCAGAAGTAAGTACCTGGGGGTATTTCATGGTCTTCTGTTTAGGCCAAGGTTTATGAGCAAATAAGAATGCAACCAATGTGGCAGGGTTTTTTCCCCCCTTTCCCCTGGGGGGAGTGTTGCACAGTCTGGAATGAATTAGAACAGCAAGCTTAAGCTTGGATCCTGTGTACCCTTTTCACTTACAGAACAGTTTCTACCTGTGGGGTGTGACTGCCCCCTTCCATTGTAGCCCAAGTGCCCCCTCAAATTTCCCATTTTCCAGGAGCGGTGTTTCGGTTGCCTATTGAGCTATAGCAGGAAGGGAGAGGTGGGAAGGTCACACACTCAATTGGGGAGACATTGTTATCTCTGTGGAAATGCTTTATTGGATCCATGTTCAGACTATAGCTGCAGAACATATAAATTGAGGCAATGGCATCCATGTCTTTGTAACTTCATTTTCAATGTGGCTCCAGTTTTTTAGATTATAAATGTATTATAATCTCACTCAGAGTTTGTAGTGTTTCTCTGATTGTTCCTTTCTGCTGCAGTTGATCAAAACACCCTTATTTGAAAATTCACGACGAACTGAAGAGTTAGAAAGGCTGAGGGCTTGTGAGGGAGAGTATGGAAAGAACTACGAAACACTTAGTCTCATTGGCAGAGGAGCTTTCGGTTTTGTCTGGACAGCCAGATGCAAAAAGGATCACAAGGAGGTGAAACAGCAGAAATTTCTCTCTGGTGAACAGAACCATTAACTGGTAGTCCTTGTTTTTGTTTAAATAAAGTATTTTCATTGTATCTGATGAAGGGAGCATTGACTCTTGAAAGCTTATACCCCAAAAATCTTGTTGGTCTGTAAGATATCACTAAACTTGGATCTCGCTATTATAGTTGTAGTTATCGAATACTCTCAACTTTCTTCATATCTATTCAGATAGACCATTGCATGGAATAGATGTTTCTGTCAAAAGTAAGTTACCTGGCAGTGATTTGTGTATTGTGTACTGTTTCAGAGTTTAAGTTCTTCGAAAGGTAACATTTGTTAAAGCACTAGCTGACTTTTCCACAGCATTTTCTGGTTTGTTTATTTTATAAAACATACACCATATGTAGCAAACGTTTCAAAGCAGCTCACAATAACTATTAATAGCAATAAAAGCATGGTTAAAACAGCTATAAAACTGCATAAAACACCATTAAAGAATCAACAACATAAGCAACATAAAACAGTTTCTTATAACAAAAACAAACATGGACCTTCTAGGGCTGTCAGATATGCATTTTAAACTTATTTGAAATCTAGCAGCTCAGATTTTCATGTCAGTAAGTGTTCTTAAAAGAAGCATGTTGTGTTCATTGCAGTCAGTAGAGTTACACTCTTCTAAATCCATTTAAGTCAGTGGGCTTAGAAGAGTGTAATGACGTTCCTCCTTCCTTACTGGGCCTCCTCTCAGTGGGTCTGAACTGCACACCAGAGATGGCATCTGTGAGGCCTTAATTTTAATGACAACTGCACCAGATAAAGGATAGTGCTGTATTTTATTGTTTTAATTGTGTTAATTTTTGTATATTTTATTTTTATCAAATCTGTTGTAACCCGCCCTGAGCCTACTATGCGGGGAGGGTGGGATATATAAGTCAAATCAAATAAAAAATGTCAGATGACCAATGTTCCCTCTAAGCTGTGGAGTCTTGTGAGCAAACATTCTACTTTGTGGGCTACTGGCATTAACGTTGTGAGCAAGTGATTTAGCTACTGCATAAATTAGTTTGCTCTGGAGCCATCCTTCCTGAGCTGAGACAAAAATGTGTGAGCCAGAGGCCAAAAAACTGTGAGCTAGCTCACATTAACTCAGCTTAGAGGGAACACTGCAGATGACACTGTTCCCTTCCTCCACCCTACCATCATAGAATCATAAAGTTGGTAGGGGCCATACAGACCATCTAGTCCAACCCCCTGCCCAATGCAGGACCAGCCTAAAGCATCTCTGACAAATATTCATCCAGTCTCTTCTTGAAACCTGTCAGTGAAGGGGAGCTAACCACCTCCCTAGGCAGCTGATTCCACCTTTGAACTACTCTGACCGTGTAAAAGTTTTTCCTAGTATCCAGCGGATACCTTTCTGCATGTAATTTAAACCCGTTGCTTCGGGTCCTATTCTCTGCTGTCAAATGGAACAGCTCCTTGCCCTCCTCCAAATGACAGCCTTTCAAATATTTAAAGAGAGCAATCATGTCCCCCCTCAATCTCCTCTTCTCCAAGCTAAACATTCCCAAGGCCTGTAGCCTTTCCTCGTAGGGCTCAGTCTCCAGACCCCTGATCATCCTCTTCGCTCTCTTCTGCACCCTCTCGATTTTGCCCACATCCTTTTTGAAGTGAGGCCTCCAGAACTGCACACAGTACTCAAGGTGCGGCCTGACCAAGGCAGTATACAGAGGGGCTATGACCTCCTGCGATTTCGATGCTATGGTCCTTTTAATACAACCCAATACTGAATTAACCTTTCTTGCCACCGCATCACACTGGCTGCTCATATTTAGCTTACAGTCCACTTTTACCCCAAGATCGCATACACTACTCCCTAGAAATGTATCCCCCGTCTAGTATTTGTGCTTGACATTTTTGTGTTTCCTTCTTTGGATTTGTATCCATTTGCTTTGTCTTATTCCCAGGTTGTTGTGAAGTTCATTCTGAAGGAGAAGGTGTTGGATGACTGCTGGGTAGATGATCCTGAGCTGGGGAGAGTTACTCAAGAAATTGTGATTCTGGTAAAGCTGCAGCACCCCAGTATTATTAAGGTATCGTTCATTTAGCATGTGAACACACAGCAATTAAGATACAGATTTAATGTTATATAATAGAATTATAAAGGGAAGACTCAATCTTTGCCATTTTTCTGGTATAGGCATTTGTCAGTAATAAAGCCCACTTGACTTAATGTGTCCTGCACAAACATAGAAAAGAATAAAAGTCCAGGGTATGAGCATTCATCACTGCTCACTTCTTTAGATAAAGTATTTTCTACTGCTACAAACAGACTAACATGACTACCCATCTTGAGATATCTGCACAAACGTATACCTAATATTTGCCTGGAAAATCTCAAGGGTAATACCAAGGGGCTTATAGGGCAAACCCTAAGTCCCTTGAGGACAGACTATAATAGTTCTACTAAAATGTAAGGCTAGTTAAGAGGATGAAAGGTTATGGTTGTTTCTTTTTTTTGAAGCAGTGGCATATATATTTTTGTGAAGAGTTTTTTTGAGAATCAAAGTTTTTGTCACCAGGTGCTAAATGTATTTGAGAACGAGCAGTTCTTCCAGCTAGTGATGGAGAAACATGGGCCAGGTCTGGATCTCTTCTCTTTCATTGATAACCAGCCCAGTATGGATGAACCTTTGGCAAGTTTCATATTCAGACAGGTAAGACCTGACCAACGTGAAATCTGCAAAGATATGGGCGTGCAATGGGTCAGTTGATAAAACTGGAAGGGAAAGCTGGCTGATTAAGTAAAATACCAATGGGGCACTTGCAAGGGGGACATCTCCCACGGTATGCTGTTTCTTTTTCCTGAAAACCCCCATATCCTATTCCCTTTTCCTGCACCCGTCTCTTTTTCCCAGCCACCAGCCAAGCTACCTTTATCTGCCCCCCCGCCCCATCTTCAGGTTCCCCTCCCTATGGCAGTTTCTACCTGGGAAAACTATGGCCCAGTAACACAGGGCCGGGGCCAGTTGGATGGGGACCCAGTACCCCTTCCCCATAATTTTTTTCTTTCCTCCTTCCTGGCAGCCCCTATATCTTCATCTTTCACTGCTTCCTTCTCTCTTTCCCACCACCAACCAACCTATTTTATCTGTGCCCAATCTTCAGGTATATTTACTTTGTTTATACTTCCACCTTTCTTCCCAACAGGAGCAGGTACTGGGCCTGTGTGAGTCATCAAGTTGGGTGGTAGGAAGTTGTCTACTGCTTGCTGCTGGCCCTGATGAGTCCTCCTTCAGTGGCTAAACCTGCTCTGGAAAGAGCCCTCCCCCTTCCCCGTGCCTTTTACTGACAGAAGCTAAGGCTTGGACAGTGGCAATACTCTTGTGGATGCTTAGCAAGCTCCACAATATTCATTCATCCATTCATTCATTCATCCATCCATTCAGATTTATAACCTGTCCTTCCCGCATGCAGTGTCAGGGCGGGTCACACAGCAATAAATTACAATCAAACAAAAATATCAAACAAAAACATTGAAAAGGTAGGCTTTACAACAATTACATATTCAGCAATCCTAATAGCTGGGAACAACTGGGCTGTGACCGAGCCATAGCGGTCTTATTAATAGCAGCATAACATTAAGAGACTGCAGCAGGGAGGCATTGTTGCCTCCTGAGATGAATGACTGTTTTTTACACATACCTCATTTGGCTAGGGATGCATAGAAGGTAGACCATGGTCCTCCCGCAGCCGACTAGCTAATTTATAATGAACCACCTAGAATCTGCTTGTTCTTGGAGTTCTGGCACAGCTGTTCTTGAAAAAAGAGCCGTTTCTGTCAGAGCTCTCTCAGCCCCACCTACCTCTCAGGGTGTCTGTTGTGGGGAGGGGAAGGGAAAGAAGTTTGTAAGCCGCTCTGAGACTTCCTTGGGTAGTGAAGGGCGGGGTATAAATCCAATCTCTTCTTTGTCTCTTCTTCTTCCAAAGAATGCTGAATTTCATCTGATTATAGAAATGTGAAGGCCCAGAAAAATTGGAGGAGGGGACATTTTTCCTGCAGAATCCCCCCCCCCCCTTTTTTTTTCTGTTGGAAATTTGGAGGAGCACAAAAAAACCCTCCTATGAAATATGATTTCTTTGAAAGATAGATTCAGGTTTTAGATATATTGGAACAGTTTTCCTCAAGCCTTACATATGGGGGGGGGGGGGGTTTAGTTACCAGGAAGGGCTTGTTAGAGTTAAGATGCATAAGTAACTGGGCGACAAGTATAGCTGAGATTAGACTGAAACAGTTGGTAGACCTGTGAATGGCAGCAGATTAGCATAAAAATACAAGAGTTAAACAGATATGAGAACTGAGTTTGAGTCCAGTGTCACCACCATACCAACAAAGTTCAATTCTGGGTATAAGTGAGTTATTACAACACTCAGGACAATAGAAACCCCAGGGCTTAACAGATAGAGTTCTTATTTCACTACACATGCTAAGTCACTCAGTTCTCACTTACACTTAGTTCTCACATTTGATGTTATCTCTTGTATTATCTGTAGAAAAGAGTAAGAGTCCAGTAACACCTTAAAGACTAACAAAATTTGTGGTAGGGTATGAGCTTTCGTGAATCACTGCTCATTTCAGGTATGTCTACTCTTTATATGGGAATGAAAAGCCATTCTCATTAATAATTGACAGTATTACCAAGGTTTTTATAGTCATGAACACCTGGCTGAGTCAGGCTAAAGACTACTCTGCATGTTCCCAGGAGCCTGATCTCCACAGTGTGTATCTGCCTGCATCAGTACCTAGCACAGGTAGTCTTATATGCTTAGGCTTTACTTTCATTAAATTTTGTAGTTTGTTTCTGTGGGTGGGAGGTTCTATTACCTTTCACTGGGAATGATCAAGGATATATACTTTGGGGATTTAGAGGATAACCTACTTCAGTTGATAAAATGGAATGTAAATTTGAATATTAAAAACAAATAGATAAATAAGATAAAACAGTTACAGTAAATGCAAATTTGAGTGACCCCCAAGGTTTTTTTTTTTTTTTAAGATGTCACATCTTTTTAAAATTTAAGATCTTTTCAGATTTTTCTGCAAACTTGGGGTCACCCAAGTTGCAGAAAAACCTGTCTTGGGTAAGTGTGGCCCCAGTCTGTGGATTTAGGTATCCTCAGAGCCACACTTGAGTAACAGCTCTATAGATAGTCCTAGGTAAATTGAGAAGATACCTCGCTGTCTTTTTTCTTTGTACATGATAGCATCATAGTGTTTGGTTTTGGTTACTATTTCTTCCTATGCCTTGAATAAACCCAGGTCTTCTACATCCAAACTAGTATTGGCCTTTTTGTGTTATACCTATAACTAGGAAAAAGGGCCGTTGTGGAAATAAATACAACGGCCTCTACAAAGAGGCTCTGGGCGGGTGCCCCGGCCTTGGACACTCAGTGTCAATTTGCTGTGGCGACCTCAGCAGGGTATAATGACACTGAGTCCACCATTTTCTCCAGAGGAACTGATCTTTGCCACCTAAAGAACAGTTGTAATTTTGAGTGATCGCCAGTCCTCACCTGGAGGCTGGCAACAAAGCCCTGACTTCTACGTCACATTGGCTGCCATAGGGGCCACCTCAGCAGCATATAAAGATACAGAGCCCACCATTTTCTCCAGAGGAAGTGATCTCTGCCATCTGGAAAGCAGTTGTAATTCTGAGGGAACTCCAGCCCTCACCTGGAGATTGGACACATTTTACCTCAGAAGAGCAAACTGTTTAGAATGTTAGAGGCAAAAGCCAATCAAATCGCATATGCAAAGGACCTCTGTGTTCCGAGGCAAAGGGCAGTGAGGCTGCATATGCAAATAACCTCTGTGTTCTGACTGGCTGTGGGTGGGAGAGGAAGAGCAAACTGTTTAGAATGTTGAAGGCAGGACTCGGGCAAAGCAGCCAGTGGATAGGGAGACCCTCTGAATGACAGATCAGAGAGTGAACTGATTTTGGAGCGTGTGGAATGTTCTAGAGAAGTGCCACCACCATTTGGCTATTATTTATAAGGGAGATTTGGCAGATGTTCAGTTTGTGCCATAAAAATCTCTGGATATGAATGTAAGCCTAATGAAAAAGCTCTAGCAATAGACTGGCATGACAATGACAGTTATCCACAGAAAGTCAGATTTGCCTAAATTTGCCTAATTCCACTTGTCATGGTGGGATGTAGGATAGTACAAATTTCTTTGTATTTTGCCAAATGACTATAGATGTAGGAAATGTAGTGCTTCAGATATTCTGTATGTTCCTATTAAACAAATAAATACCATTTCAGGGCCAAAAGCCAGAAATAACAATGCCTTTTCAGGTTATAATTAAAAACTACATATATTGTCTGCAGTGGTACACATTCTGATCCTTGGTCATGTCTGTTTCTCAGCTGGTGTCTGCAGTGTGCTACCTA